GTGAGAAGGGGGTAATTCTCAACATGCCACTAGGTCGTAAATGGATCTGGTGTCGGGGTTGCCATGGTAACCATGGTCCTGGGCCTTGTTCGCAGACAACTTGGCCCCAGTATGTTTATTGGGGGGAGGGTTTCTGTGAACGTTTGTTAATCTAATGAATAACTGATTTGTTAAATCAAATGAAAAATTGTGTTTTTGATTGGTCCAGACGCTACACTCCCGCTTGTCATTAAAGGGATAGTTCTCCCAAAAATGTAAATTCTGTCATTATTTACTCAGTCTTTTGCACCAAATAGTATCGATAACAGTATCGATAAGTATCGGTATCGATAAAATGTAAACGATACCCATCTCTATTCATGTGTAATATTTGTTTAGGACCCTTTATAGGAAACCATCAGATTGCTGTATATTGTCATCATTTTTCTAGCTAAAAACCCCAAATCACCTTTAACCTGATGAGGAGATACCCCCTGACAATGTAAAGCGCTTTGAGTGCCTAGAAAAGCGCTATATAAATGTAACAAATTATTATTATTATTATTATTATAACTTGTGTTATTAGAGACTAATCATTTTCTTAATCCTGTTTTGATGTGACAGGACGAGCAGAAAGAGCTAGATGAGATCCTAGCCAAGAGACAAAAGCGAGGCAAGAATGAAGAAGAGGCTCCAGCGGAGGAGAAGACCGTCCTGCACGGTACGACACGCAGCCACAACCACAAACGTGCAGCTAAACGAGTCTTCAATCTGCAGTTAAACCGCTTTCTCTCCCTCTTTACAGTTAAAGAAGCGTACGATTATCAGGGCCGCTCGTACCTGCATGTTCCTCAGGACGTGGGCATCAACCTGCGCTCAGCGGACGTCCCGGAGAAATGCTACCTGCCCAAGAAACAGCTGCACGTCTGGACCGGACACACCAAGGTAGGGATTTTTAGTTTTTCTGGATTCTGTTTTAATGGTTGAATTAAATATTAGTAATCTAAATGTAATTAAATGAAATTATGAAACATACAGAATTAGAATTCTGATACATTTCCGGAAACTTTCCAAAAATCCCTGGAATATTCCAAAAAAAATCCTGGAAACTTTCCAAAATGTCTGGAATGCTTCCGAAATTTACTGGAAATTTTCCACCTTTTTGCAACCCTATACCCAATTAAACAACAATATATTAACAAAAAAAATAATAATAATTTTAGGGCCTTATGAAATCAATTTAAATTTTTCCAAAATTCCTTTTTTTCTGTTAAATTAAGTTTTCGTAAGCAAAATTCAATGAATTGAAATCATGAAATGTACAGAATTAAAAACAATTTCTAAACGAAAATGTACATTTTATTGTCCTATGAAATCCATTTTATTTTTTCCCAAGTTCTTTTTATTTTTCTGAATTTGTTTTCTGATTAAACTTTTGCTGATTCCGTTTAATGGTTAAATACAATTTTAGTAATCAAACAGTTAAAAATGTTATTGCCTTACGAAATCTATTTTATTTTATTTGTAAATACCTTTTTATTTATTTATTTATTTTAAATGTCATGTTTTCTGTTGTAATTTTTCTGGATTCTGTTTTTATGGTTAAATTAAATTTTAGTAATAAAAATGTTCTTAATTGAAGTCATGAAAGGAACACAATTAAACAACAGTTTATTACAAGCTTAACACAAATTTTATTTTATAGGGTCCTATTTTATTTTTTTCCCAAATTCCCCTTTTTATTTTTCATAAATCTTTCTTCTTTTTTAAATTATTTTTACTTTAAGAAGTACATTCAGTTGTACCATAGTAATATATTTAATTTAAGCCGAACTTTTATTTTGGCAGGTTGTAGTGATGATCAGTTTCTGTGTATCTGCTGACATGAAATGGTCGAATGCTGGTGAAGTGACTCTTTTATAGCCCTGCTTTTGATTGATTCATTCAAATTTTGCCAAATGTACAGTTAATTCTATTTTTATGACTGGATTCGGCGATTCTTTTTCAGCCACCAGTCATCATAGTGTGCACTGGTTTTTAAGGTATCTAATATTTTGATACTTAATTTCCGTGATCTAAATATTCTTAAGAATTACAATTTTGTTGTCATTTGAAAATGTGTGTAGGCCTTCGTGCATTATTATGCTGTTATATTATGATTATATATTCAGTGGCATAATATGGTCTTAAAATGACAATAATATCGTTTATTGCATTTATTTCTGGGGCAGTTTAACACACAACAAAAAGTTGTTATCGTGACAGGCCTACTGAGATGTCAGTTTTTTAGTGATTATAAAGGGAGCGCTCTTTGCTCCAACCATGCACGCAGCAGCCTAAGCTTGCTTTGAGTTAAAAATAACAGTGGTTTGTGAATGTTGATGATTTAATAACGAATATTTTATCGGGATTTTGTATGCTGGGATGTTGTGGAACTTACTATTTCATGTAAATTTCATGGATGTACTGACAAAAATCTATAGAGGCTGCTTTAATGCGGGCGGGAGCGGGACACTCATGAATGTTGCGGGCGTCCCGCGCAGGTCTGTGTTTCACTCACGCGTCTCCTGTCTGCAGGGCGTCAGCGCCATCCGTCTGTTCCCGGTGTCTGCTCATCTCCTGCTCTCCTGCTCCATGGACTGTAAGATCAAGGTGAGATCCTCAGCTCAGAGACGCCTCTCATGTCCTCACATAAGTTTGCACTTTCAGAGAGTCGCTCTGAATATCTAGCTGACGTCACACCGCAGGACGTTGTTATATAAAACTTAATCCTAAACAATGTTCTAATTCTTGAATAATAATACTTATTACAACAACAATAATAGTTGTATTAATCTGTACAATAGTCTATTCATCTAATAATAAAATATTAATAATAATAATAATTATTATTATTATGCAAGCAGTTTTTAAGACAACATACTATTTTATGAATTTTTATGAAAAGTGTTTTACAATGTATTTGAGTTAAATATTAATTGAGAGACCTGATGGAATATTTTAATTTAAAAAAAGAGCTGGTCAGGACTGTTTAAATGAAACTTAAAATGAAACACGAAGACCTTAAAATAAATGGTGACCATTTACAGCATCTAAAAGATACTTTTCTTTTATGTTCATATGCATTTTAACAAATAAAAAGTCCAGCTACTGATATATCTGTGTGCTGATGTGGTTTTGGTCTTCTCTTGTAGTTGTGGGAGGTTTATAATGACAGAAGATGTGTGCGGACGTTTATCGGTGAGTCTTGTGTGGTTTCTATCTCTGCTAGTGGAAGGATCAAACACTTGAGTGATGTGCTTTAATTACTTCGTGATGAGCGTCTCGGCTCGTTTATCCAGCGCCGTCGGGTCCGCAGGAGACACACAGGAGATGAGCTGGATGAGATTCATGAGACGGCAGAGCTCAAGTGTTTAGTTCTGCATCTCAAAAGCTTAATTAAACTGTCATGAGACTCAGATTGAGGACTTGCTTTTCTCGACTCTATGATATGCCTTAAACTTGAACTTTAGTTTTAGTAGAACATCTAGAATATGAACCTGATTAACATAGCAAAAATAAAGTAGCAAATAAACAAATAAATCATAAATAAAACGAATAATAATAATAATTAAGTGTTAGAATAATATAAAAAAATAAAAAATACAAAATTTTCAAAAGAGGTCAGTAAGATGTTTTTTTTTTTTTTAAGAAAATTAGGGCTGAGCGATTAATTGCATTTGCGATAATATCGCGATATGAAAAAACGCGATTTTTCAATCGCAGACACTGCGATTACACTCGGTCACGTGACACACGAGAGTAAAGAGGTGCGTTCGACTTGAAGATCGATCAGTGTATGTCATCAAAGTACTTTGATGTCACACACCGATCGGTCTAGCAGCGCTGCTTCAAGTCGAGCGCGGGCCATCAGCAGAAAAAGAAAATAAATAAAACAGTAAACAGCCAAAGGACGTAACTTAGAATGGGAGATGGATCGGTTTGTGAAAGCGAAGAGAAAAGCCATAGATGAAGTCGCACAGACCCAGGCAGGTGCTGGTCATTTAAAAGCTAAATGCAGAAAATATGAC